GGACCTCCCGGGGTCGATCTTCCTTCCTTTTCTCCCCGGTACGTCGGGGAGGAGGGTCTTGTCGTGAGATGCCGCTGTTGTTGGGAGCGCGAGCCCTGGAGTCTCGGGCCCTGTTGGCAGCTTCTCTCTCCTCGTAGTCCATATATGCTCGGGCCTTGTCGAGGAGGGCATCAAAAGTTGGAGGTGGTTCAATACCTACAGCTTTTCTGAATTCTGTGCCGGGGAGGAGGCCTCTCTCCAGCAAATATCTTTTCATATGGTCCGCGCAGGGGACCTGTATTGCTTCCCGGTTGAAGCGGTTGATGAATTCCCTCAAGGTTTCATCCTGTCTTTGGATGATGGCCTCGAGGGCCGCCTCGGTCTTCGGGTGGCGCCGAGAAGCTGTGAAGGAACTGATGAACTGGTTCTTCAGGTTCCGCCATGACGTAATTGAGCCCGGGGCGAGTCCTTTATACCAGTCCATGGCCGCCTTCCTGAGAGTCGTGGGGAAAAGACGGCACTTGATGGGCCCCCTGACATTATGATAGTGGAGCATGGCTTCGAACCCGTCAATGTGGTCGACCGGGTCTGCTACACCGTCATACTCCTTCAAGTGTGGGGGCTTCTCCATGCCCGGGGGGATGGGCGCGTCCATAATGGCCTGCGACAGGGGACCGCGGGGGTCATCCTCGTCGCTCCTCTCCGGAGAAAGAGAAGGGGTCCTGTAGTTATGTCTGGCACGATGATCGTGCTGAGATTCCCTCGAGCGTGATGCTCGGTGGTTGAAGGTCACACGCCCGTCTCCGGCGTGCCTCTTGTCGTGCCTTGATGGGTCGCGACTGGGTTCTTCGGTAGGGATGACGGGCTGTCTCTCATAGTAGGGCCGCCTCTGCTTTGGCCGGGGAGAGGGGCTCCTGGATTTCTCCCTATAGTGTCTCCGCGGGGGAGAAGGGTGTCGAGCTTCCGTGACCCGAGGAGGAGGAGAATGTGGCCTCCGATGCCTCCTCGGGGGTTGTCGATCATCTTCAAGTGCCCTTAATCTTTCTCCTTGGGCGAAGATCAGGTAATTTGTCTGATTAATGGCCACGAACAGTGCCTGAGTCGTGGCATCTGCCCCGGCAGGGACTGGGACTTCATAGAACCGGGCAGCTCTGCGATGAGCGAGAGCTACCGGGTCGTCTTCGAGTGCTGGAGGGGTCGTAGAGGATGATGCAGTAGCCCCGTCCCTGTAGGAGGAAGGTCCAGGGGCGGTTGTCACAGGGATGGCATTGTGGCCGGGATCACCGGGATTGTCGAGGTGTCCATTCTTGTCCGCGGGACCGTTATTAGTGTCGGCGACACGGACGGGCTGCTCGTCGCGAGCTGGATCAGCCATGACAGGTAATCGAATTGAGCTTTGGTCTTTAGAATTGTTCGTTAGACGGGGAAGCTGTTTCCCACAGACGGCGCCACTGATCTGACCTGATCAGAAAATGGACCGTCACGGCTGGCTCCGAGCAGAAAGCTTTTTTGAACGAGGTGGGGGGGGGGGGTACCTGCAAGGCACTCCGATGCTGAAGTAAGTAGGAGTACGAGCAGATAATAGTAAGTTGAGGTTAGAATGATGAATACCTGACCCTCTGGAAGCAGAGGGTATTTATAGCCCCCAGCGCTGGGCCAAGGTTCCTTCATTGGGCCGGGCAGGTTTGGCCCAATGGAGGAACTGCCAGGTTCTACGTGGGTAGTGGGGACCCGTATGTGGTCCCCTTCCTGGATGTTCTGCGTGAAGTGCGGGCGGACGGAGACGCGGTCTTTCCAGAGTCTCGTTGGGGGAATAGTGGACTGAGTCTGCCCTAGTTGGGATGCTCGAGGCAATGTCGAGCTGGACATCAGGACTTGGAGCTGGACGGCAAGACGTCGAGCTGGACATCAGGAGGTGGAGCTGGACATCAGGACGTGGAGCTGGACAGCAGGATGTCGGGCACGGCTGTGACCCTTTGGTCGGCGTGGTCCTCAGTAAGTCCCTTTGGACTGGGCCTTAGCAATGCTTTTGGGCCTGTCGGGCCCAGTCCAGAACATTATTTAAGTAGAAAAATTATAAGAATATGTGTGATTTTTATTATTTACACCCCTATTTCATGTTTGGAATTATCAAAACGAAAAATTTCATTTATTTATTAAATAAAAAATAAATCTATTTTCCAATTAATTATAATAAAAAAAATTAATAACTTCCTATTGCCAAAACAAAAATAAATCATTTAACTTATGTTTTCAATTAATTTATAAGAGAAGAGTATATTTACTCTAAGAATAATTCTTTAAAGTTACTTCACATATTAAATTTGGATTTGGATTTGGATTCAATCTAACGGTTTGTGAGATAAGTTAAGATATTGTTTGATCACTTATCTATATTTGATTTATTTTTTTAAAATATAATATATCTAAACATTCCTTAAATAGATGTGATTTTATTATTAATATTTTTAGTAAAAAAAATCTCCTTCTATGTATTTTTACGGTTAGAAATTTTTAGCATTATTTTCTATTTAAAATATGGCATGTCTATAAAGTGTATTGTAGAAAATGGCCGTATGTCACAATTGTTATGATTTCAAAAATTTTAAGTTAATTTATATTTTTTTATAAAGAAAAAGTTGGTTTTATTATTTTATATTTTAACATTAGCATAATTTCATTTACTTTTTCTTTTCAATTATAATATGTTTATTTTATAATTTCCCATTGTTATAATTTTTATTTATTTTAAGTTTGAATATGTTTATTTTATAATTTTATATTGGTATAATTTTATTTATGGTTAAGTTTGGTGTGAGATTTCACTTAAGAGTGGATAAAGCAATTCGTTTTAAAAAAAATAATTTTTTTTAACTCACCTCGTAAGATTATTGAAAAACATTCTATGCAATTCCGAAAATATCTTAAAACTAAAAATACAATTATAAGATGGAACCGTAAATGTATTTCCGCTCCTATAGAGACAGTAATGGAAAAATTTATACAGGCAGTAGTCATTTTCGCATTGTTTCGCATTAGAAACTACAAATTAAATACAAAGACATATAGAACAAATACACACACACACACACACATATATATATATATATATATATATATATATATATATATATATATATATATATATATATATATATATATATATATATATATATATATATATATATATATATATATATATATATATATATATATATATATATATAGCAGTCAACAATACAAAAGTTGTCCGTAGTGATAAAAGCGATAACCTAAAATATTATCCAACAACAATCTAAAAATCGATAAACAAAAAGAAATCCAAACCAAAATACATATACAACAACGTAGACTATGAGTCAGCCCGTCCCCCTCATGTTAGCTACAACAACTCATCAAACCATGGCTCAGTATGAGCTTCGAGTTTAGTGATCTTCCGTGCATAATTAATGGCTTTCAACGAATCACGTTTTTGTATACATGGTTTAACAAAATTCACTCAACAAAACATAATAATAAAATAAATTCAACAAAAATTACAAGAACAATTATAAATTCATACCTCTCCGTCCCAAATATGTCTAACAACATGGTCTGAATACAAAGATAGCAATGATAAATCAACATGCCCTCCTCCAAAACTTTGAGGCGCCGTAAGTGTCGTCTCAGTTGCAGGCACCGCCTTAACTGCATGTTCCTCGGGGGCTTCAGGTGCCTCCAGTGTCGGCTGGAAACCAGATGTCTCTTTTGTCTCAAATACTATCGATGAGGAAGTCCGTCTACGGGAGAAAAGAGGCAGGGGGTGGGATAAACTAGAGAAACTCACCTGCTGTAGAAGGACGATGAAGTAGGCGTAGAAACAGGAACATCAGAGGCTGTAGACGCATCCGGCATAACCTGTCCAGAGACAGAAGGAGCCTGGGATGCCTGACTCCTTTTCCTCCACACAAAAGCATGTTGTGCAAGCCTGTCGTGTCCCAATCTAGATGGTCTCTCAGCCATTACTCTTGTAGAAGAACGAAACAAACGTTAATAATAGGACTCAGGTTCAAAAAAAATGGAAAAATACAGACTGACTAAAACTGGATATGTAGTTCCGATTTTTGATGTAAACGTTGAACAACACCAGAAATGCATATGTGGTACGGCCTGTAACTTTACAACTTTGTCAATGGCAAAGCTCAGCTCCAATGACCTCAAAAAAATGGTCATTGATCGTAAAAAAAACATACTTAACACGTTTCTTATGACTCATAATATTGAAAGCACTAAAAGAAAATGAATTTTCGACCATAAAATAAAATTTGTAGGTAAAATTACATAAGTATAAGAAATTCAAAAACAACTTACAAGTGATATTTTTTTGCTTGAATCTGCTTGAACACTGAACTTTGTCTTATGTTTGATGATTCTTGATGAACTTTTCACAAAATAGGATGATTTTGACACAATGGGGTTTGAGAGGATTTGATATTTGGGTGTTAAGTGTTTTTGTTTTCAAATGGTTTCTGAATATGAGGAAAGGGAAGAGACAACGCGTGTTTAAGTGTCAACACGAATCATAAATACAAGTACCGTTTCAATCATAAATGCATTTCTGATTCGTATCTCTGTGTTAGCTTGAATTTCTTAGTCTTAAAAATTCTGTACATATGAGACACTTTCGAAAATACAATTACAGTTCCACCCGTAGTTGTATTTCTGGTTAGTTTTCAACTGATACATAGAGTCTCGTCCACTAAAATTCAAGTTTTGATACGTACCGAAAATGTATTTTCGATTTCTAGAATATTTTTGTATTTTCGCGTGATGCGCTATAAAAATATGAGGTGGATTAAAAAATCCAAAAAAAAAAACTCAGAGCCCAAAATATATTTAACTGGGCCTAAATAAAGCCCAAAACATTCTAACAATCTCTTCACCAAAATCGAAGCTCCCACAGCAACTCATCAATGGCAGAGGAACCTCTGCTGTAGCGTCAACTCATCAGTCACAGCAACTTCCAAACATAGCAAGCAACGATGCCTCTTGCTTCAACAACCACCCTCGCCCTCTATCTTCTTCTCTTGCTTCCGATTCTATCTTCGGCAACACTAGAAGAAGAATTTCACGAGGAGTTGCTTGTTAAACCCTTACCCGATCGCAAAGTGCTAGCGCATTTTCACTTCCTAACCGAAGCTCCTGTTGCGGACGATTCCTTCGCTCGTCACCATCATCTCTTCCCCAAATCCATTTCTCAACTGGTGTGTCTTTACTTTACTCTTTCCTCTTTTCTGTTTCACTTTTTTATTTATTTTTAGTTTTAGGGTTAGTTATGCTTTAACTAGTTATAATTATCGCTAATTTTCAGATGTTTTTTTTTATCTTGTTGAATATACTAATTAACATATGGATTAGTGTTGGATGGACAGGTTAAGAAATTTCACATTAAAGCGATGGAGTTATCTTTCACGCAAGGTCGATGGAACTATGAAAGATGGGGTGGACTTGATCCAATATCTAGCCAAAATGCAAAGCCTCCTGGAGTTGAATTGTGGGCAGTCTTTGATGTCCCTCAACATCAGGTTGATGCATCTTGGAAAAATTTGACGCATTCTCTATCGGGTCTCTTCTGTGCTTCAATAAACTTCCTAGAGTCATCTAGCTCTTATTCTGCTCCGAAATGGGCGTCTCAGTCAGCATTAGGTAGTTTAAGATATGGCACACTGCCGCGTGAAGCTGTCTGCACCGAGAATCTTACTCCCTGGTTGAAACTCCTTCCTTGTAGAGATAAAGCTGGACTATCGGCCTTAATGGATAGACCATCTGTTTACAGGAGTTTTTATCATTCACAGCGGTTGCACTTGACAGCATCCACGGCTCCTGCTGATGGGTTAGATTCAGGGATTATTCTAGAACAAACACTTACGGTTGTACTACAGCCTAATATTCAGAAAGCTGGTTTGAGCTTTCCCGATGAATTTAAGATTCAACCAAGCTGGTCTTTGAGCTCCATATTTGGACGAAAAGTGAATGGAAGGTGTGTTCTTGCTAAATCGAGTAATGTCTACCTTCATGTTGAGAGAGATTTAGTCGCTCAACTTGAGAAGCTCCAGAAGAATACTGATGCATATGCTGATAATGACGGGGGTACAGATGTTTTGAGAGGGAATCTTGGCTTTGAAATATCTATTAAACCGGATAGGGTTCATAGAGAACTGGAAAAGAGCTCATCAATTCTGTATGAATATTCAATCAAAGAGTACAACGACACTGAACAATTTGATTTAGGCCTAACATGGAAATATCCAGTTGTTTGGTCCTGCCCACTTGCACCTTTATATGCCAGTAGATTTTTAATTGGAAGTGGAAATGAAAGGGGCTCGATTGCAATATCCTTGAAGTCTACAGAATTGACTAAGGGTTTCGTTGTAGCCAATAATGTTGAAGAAAAGTGTAAGTTACAAGTTAATGTTCTCCAAATTGTGCCTTGGTATATTAAGGTATATTATCATACCTTACAATTATTGGTAGATGGAAAGCCTCAATCAGTCACGGATTTTGTTGAGAGAATGAGTGTTTCGCCTTCGGAAGACAAAGTATCAACAGGGATGATGGAGTTGATCCTCAGATTTCCTTGTGACATTAAATCTGCTATATTAAATATAGAGTTTGATAAGGTGTGCTCAAATTCTTATTTTCATTTATATTTCTATTTCTTTTGGATATTTACCTCACTTTTTTTATTGAAACTCAATAAGTTATTAAACAACTTTAGAAATCTTAGTAAGATAATCATAATCATTATGAAATAAATAAATTAGTCTGCAAATGTTTTAATAGAATGTAGAACTCATGAAATCCTAGCTTAGGTGTTACTTGAGGTTGATGAGTTAAGATTGATACAGGTTTTTATCCATGAAGTGCTTCTTTCCTTGTTACTTACTTCCCTGGTCACTCTTTTGAGTATGAGTTTGAGTGAGGCCGACTTGGTTTAGAGACTTTAAGGGCCATGTTTTGACTCAGCTGTATCGGAGCTGGTAAACTAATTCCTGGTATATGCTTTTTTTTTTAATCTTGCCGTTAATCCATGAGTTGAAGGAACTGGATTTTATTGAGCTGGCTACCTGTTTACTTGCCCAAACTAGACATAATGTAGGTACATGTCATGGCAGCCTGGATGTGATACTCATTTCATTTTCTATCAATATTGGTGTTAGAAGCTAGAAGCTATTCGTAACTATGTATGTCATATGTTTGTTAACTACGGACCATTTTATGATGGATGGATGAAAAATTGATTTATGTTAGAATATGCTGAGGTTTGATCTATGTAGTTGACCCGTAGCTGACCCCATATAGTGAGATACATCGTGATTATTGTTCTGACATGTTTTTTTTGGTCTGCACATAGGGCTTCTTGCATATTGATGAATACCCTCCTGATGCTAATCAGGGATTTGATATTCCATCAGCAATAATAAGCTTTCCTGACTTCCATGCTGGTTTGCAATTTTCCGATGACTCTATAAGCAAGTCACCAGTGATGTCTAAATTACAGGTTATTTGATTCTCCTTTCTTCTTTTGCTCATCTGTGCAGTAAATAGAAGATAACCATAATACCTAACAGTCTGGATCTTTAATGCAGGAAAAGAGCCCTGTTCTCTTATACACAGAAGTTTTACTCGTACCCTTGACAACTCCTGATTTCAGTATGCCTTACAACGTCATTACAATTACTTGCACGGTTTTTGCATTATATTTTGGATCCTTGCTAAATGTACTCCAAAGACGAGTTGCAGAGGAGGAAAGACTTTTGAAAGGTAACTCTTGACCCTTGTAGTCTCTGTATCTTGGGACACAAGTAATTCTTTCGTTAACAACAATGAGTAAACCTATGATAGTGTTTGGTAGACATCTCGACTCTTTGTTTTATAATGCCTTGAGCTATATATCTTTAGTTTCCACATCTTTTTATTTCTTGCTCGGTTTCTTATATCTGGTATTTTTATGCTTGTAGCAAACAAAGCTCCGTTCCATCGACAAGTACTAAATAAATTATACTCAAGGTTTCGGGGAGGATCATCAGAATCCACTCAACCAAAACAACAATCATCATCCTTCATTACTCCTACATTGATTATTAAGATAATATTTGTTGCAGGATTTGCTGTTGTATGCCAATTCTATTTAAAATGATACCATTCAAATTTGTAGTGTTAGGTCTATTATAGATATAGAATGAGTACTATTTCTGTAAACAATAATATAGCTTTACTTCCACTTGCCAATGTATGTGTTTGTCTTCCTTTCTGTTCTGTTTTTTAATTGACCACGCACACATGATAGCATTTATATTATTAACAGAAATAGATTTTGTAACTTTTGACTTAGTTTCTCATAACCATAGATGTATATTTAAACAACCCAGAAAACTGATTAGTGTTCATTTTAAATATAACAATGGATGGATTGAACACCCTGAGGTTCTTCAAAAACTATGATTTCTGAAGCAATTTTACAGGATACAATGTAAAAAACTACATACTTATATTTTTCTTGAGCTTGAAATGTATCTAATCCTTTTGTAATTTGCTGCCACAATCTCATCGTCTCTTGTCTGCTTGAGATTCTTATTTGTATAACTGCATGTAAACTGGTTTTGAGAAATGCTTCTAGGAAGTTCATCGACTTTATCCCAAATATCTGTGAGAGCCCATCAAATATGTCAGTATTGAGATTTTGGCAGATAAAAATCTGTTTCTATTGAGTATAAGGTATATCAGTAGCTTTGGTTAGAAGGATTAGAATAAGAACATGCCAAACTTGTCTTCATTTATTTTTAGCTTTTTGAATTGGTTGACATCTTCAAACAGTTGCTTTCTCTTGCAGTTTAGGACATTCAGAATCCCACCTTTTGAAAAGAACAAAGAAATATATAAACAGTCATATAATGTGTAGCAAAATACTAACTGAAAAATTGTCAAATGATACATAACAAACAATCATATAATGTTGTTGATCACTATTCTAGAAAGGAATATCAATTCAAATCTAAGTTATATATATATATATATATATATATATATATATATATATATATATATATATATATATATATATATATATATATATATATATATATATATATATATATATATATATATATATATATATATATATATATATATATATATACTCCTTCCGGTCTAGAATATAAGTAACAATTTTTTTTTTATGGTTTTAAATATAAAAGTCACCTATAACTATTACATAATGTCTGTTTTTATGTTTTTAACGATTTCCAAGACAAAAAGTAGGGATAAAATTAAAAAAAAAAAAAGTAAGACTTAAATGTTTTTAGACATTTTTCTTAAAGGCTGAATTTTTTTTTTGTTTGTAAAATTGCTTATATATATGAAATCGGAGGAAGTATTCTTCACTAATAATAAAAGAGAATCAATCATATATTTACCTGATTTGCTCTCTTTCAACTTTTTATTCTTGTGCAAGTTGATATCTTCAAGTTGATTCCCTCTATGGTTACAATAATGCCCAGTTTCTATCACCTTCATAACCCCATGTTGAAAATCTTGTGACTCATGACCTCCTACATAAGCACAATTCAATCTAGATTAGAAATTTTTTCACCTTGTCGATCATCATCTATAACAGATTTGAGATGATTTAGACATTCATAAATAAGGGTGGTATTGCTTACATTTTTTTTTTGTTAGAGTCAAGATTTTAGACTTACATATTAGACATTACTAAGAAAACATGAATTTTACAACTACTTTAGAGGCACAGGGCCCGCGGGTTCACCTTTTTTTTTTTTGCAAAATGAACTAAGAATTGTCCCCTCTATTATGTTTGTCTTGTCCCACATATATGATGTATAACCTAAGTTGATTCAATAAAATTGATTTTGACTAAAATCAAGTTGAATGTAAAAACGAGTTAACCAAAAAATTCAAAACTAAAAATCAATTCTAAAGGTAAAAGCTCTAAATTTGATAACATCAAACATTATAAAATCAATTCTATATCTCAATAATCAATTTTTTTACCCCATCAACCAAACATTCTCAGCTAATAGACACTCCCTACACACACCTTCATCTCTTTCCATGAATAACATCGTCCACCCATTGCTACATAATATTCAAAAAAACCAAAAACCAACAAAAAAAGTTAACAAAACATACCATTGTTCACCACTTTGCCAGTGACAAGAAGAGCATCATGATCATGTTCCCCAGTAGACAAACCTTTAACAGAAAAGAAAGATAGAAGAGAGTTCCAAGTGAGAGAGGAAGATAAAAGATCAATCCCTCTACTTATAAAGTAACCATTCAACTTCAACGTTGATGGGTCTAACCCAAAAGCTTTACCTATGGAACCAAAGTCTATTTTTTTATCATCACAAGTAACAAGTTGAACAATTTTTGAGTTTGGGAGTGAAGGGCTTGACATGAACAGTGTTATCTCTCTGTTTCTCTTCTTCCCCGACAATAACGACATGTCTTTCTTCTAAAACCTATGACTACAACAATCTTGTTTCTCTATGCTTCAGAAAACATTATTCGTTTCGGTGTTCTATTTAGTTTTTGTTTTTTTATGATCATTGCTTGATATTTTTCCCACTTTTTTTCAGTGTGTTTTATGCTAATCAATGCCATTGTTTTCTCGAACTGTCTAGATAAACTACGAATTGGGAGATTGGGCCGGATCATGTTTTATAGGGCCTCATGTACTTGTCGTATATCCCCTTTACAAAATTCAACATTACACCCCCTCAAATTAATCATGTCGCTTTCACATATTATTAAAAAGTCAAAAATGACTCTCATAATTTTTATTTTCAAATTTTTTACAGTCTTTTGAAAAAAATTACTCTTAAAAATCCGTTAAAAACCAAAAATTCAATAGTTATAAGCAACTATCTGAGTAGAAATACATAAAATTGAAACAGAAGAAGTCTCATACATATATATATATATATATATATATATATATATATATATATATATATATATATATATATATATATGATTCGTGTTTTCTTTTATACGGGAGATTTATATAAATCTAGTTCAAAATTCTCCCCAACCTATTTTTTTTTGTAAAAATTTGGTGTACCATATATTTTGTCTTTCTCCATAAATCTGATGTATGAATATTTTGTCTTTATACATACATGTGATGGTGTGAAATCTTGTATTAAAGTGTATTAAGTTAATGAATCTGAGATGGATGGAGCTTCAAAAAAAATTTACCCAATTCTTCACCACTAACTTAGCATTTTTTATCTAAATTTTTGAAATTTTAATCGAATTAAGGAATCTATGAGTAATTTATTTTATGTTATAATTGGTAGATATTTTCCTCTTTGGCAAAAAATGTCATCGTGAGTGCAATATATTGGAATTTTGGAGGCAACATGGTAGTATAGAGGTTATCTTTCGTTCTCATACATCAAATGGACAGAGATGTAGGAACGACTAACTGATTCTTTATTGTGAGAGTGGATGAAATTATAAGAACAAAGGAAAGACGAAAGTAACTTACAGCTGAAGGTTTCGTGCTCCTTCCAGTTCAGATTTGTCCCAAGTGATAATGGCTGGAATATAAATGTTTGATGTGGTATTCACAATCAGTGTTTAGCTTAAGATGTAGACGGTAATGACATACTAGGTCATCTAAGACTCGTAGAAATACAGTTTGTGAAAGACATAGCAAAGTACAACAAGACGTCGAGGTACATAATGGGTGCATTGTAAGATTGGAATGTTGAGAATATGACAAGTGTTGGCAAATTGTATAAAGCAAGACAAACATACCAGTCTAATATTAGAGGTTCATTCACGAAAATTCAACATTTGTTAATTTTAATTCATAATGACAAGTATTTATGTTGGACTAGAATCATGGAAGGCATGATGGTATGTCCTTAAGAGATTATGATTCAATAAAGCTTGTGAATACGTTTCATCTGGTTCTGATCTTTGACTGCTCGTATAAAAATAATTGGTATAGGCTACCACTACTTCATATTATAGGTGTTACGTCAACCGAGCTAACACTCTCTATTGGGTTTATTTACTTGGAACATGAAAGGGAGAAAATTTTCACATGGACACTAGAGAAGCTAAAAGAGTTGTTCACATCCAAAAGTTCTTTCTCAAGGTTATGGTGACTGATTCATAAATTTCCCCGATGAATGACAATTAAGTTGTTTTCCCATCCTCAGTCCACCTCTTATATGTTTTCCATGTTAAAATAATGTTGGTGCAAATAATAAGTAGTTTGCCGAGGTTAATAGACATGATTATGTGATAGAATTATAGAATAAGATCATGTATTCAAATAGGGTGTTTGAGTATGAGAAACACTTGCAACTTAGAATACTCAACCAATCACTCATAAGTATCCTAGAACCAAGAGAGGCGAAAAATGAGCACCTCTATTAAACTTAAAATCCTCCAAATATCATCCCTACTATTACTTTCAAGTATTTTGCTACACTCATAGTTGTAAGCTCAGAGCTCATCAAATGAGGGGTGGAAAATTTACCTACAAGTGGGAGATGGAATAGGCTAGAGACATCGTCCATGGTAATCGTCATATTACCATAATGGAGTGTCAAGCATCATGAGCAAACAATCCATAAGTGGCAAAAAGCCATCATCATTTACCAGTGTCTTAATTGTTGGAACATAATAAAGAATTATGGTTTCAAGAAGAATGAAGAAGAAGAGAGAAGAGAGATAACTATATTGGAAATTTGTGAAACTGTTAAAATTATTAAGTGTGTAAAACTGTACAACTGCTCACTCTATTATAATATCATGCCTATTTATAGGAAACTGAGACTCAAGCCTAAAACATACAAAATTACACTCTGGCTTAATAACTATATGTTGTATTTGACTCTATCAAATACAACTGACTTCTACTACTTTGACTAGGTCGAACACACCTATGTTGAATACAACGTTTCTATGAACATTGAATTATAGCTTCTAACACACCACCTAATTCATGTTTTCATGACTTCTTATCCTGGTACTTCTCTTTAACTCATCAAACCTGACTTTATTTTGAGGCTTGATGAGTATATCAACTAGTTACAATTCTAACTTTCAATGTTCAAGTTCAAGCTTTCCTTTATTTACTTGATCCCTGAGAAAATGATACCTCATCTCTATGTATTTACTTCGACCATGACACATAGGGTGATTGGCTAGGTCGATAGTTGACTTGTTATCTACAAATAGCTTCATTTTCTTAGGTTCCATGATCTTGAGCTCTTCTAGTATCATCTTTATCCATAAAACTTGATATGTTGCATTAATGCAGCCAAGTACTGAGCTTCACATGATTATAAATCCATAATGCTTGTCTTACTTGAGCTCCATGAGATTGGGGTGCTTTCGGTCATAAATATGTATCATGTAATACTCTTCTTCTTGTCTTAATCTCCACTGAAATATGAATTAGTGTAGCCAAATATCCCTGCATCTGTGTTGGTCTTCTTTTGTCTTAGAATCAGTACACCATGATCAACCGTACCCTTTTATGTATCTAAGCACCCTTTTAACTACTGTTTGATGATATTCTTGGGGTTTCTCTATGAATCTGCTCAACAATCCAACACTTTGACATATATCTAGCCTGGTATTGCAAAGATATATCAAGAATCCAATGATTTATTTGTATAATGTTGCACTTATAAAATCATCACTTGTCTCCTTTCTCAACTATGTTCATGTCTCTAAAGGCGTCGCAACTGCCTTACATTTTCTCATCTTGAACATTTTCAAGATATCTTGAGCATACTTCATGTGATGCAAGAACACTCTTCCACTTGTGTCTTTAAAATCCATCCCTAAGAAATATGACAAGTTTCCTAGGTCAAACATTTCAAACTCCTGCATCAACTTCGACTTGACTCTTCTTATCTATGTTTCAGTTGTACCTGTAATCAACAAATCATCTACATACAAGCCTAGATGATTCGAGTGACCTTGTCTGCACCATTGACATACACTCCATGTGCAAAAACACATTTTATGAAACCTTCTTTGATCAGGAAGTTACCTATGCTCTTGTTCCAATCTCTTAGAGCTTGTTTTAAACCATATATATCTTTCCTCAATCTATACACCTTCGACTCTTGCCCTTTGATTTCAAATCTTGGTGGTTAAGTGACATGAACCTCTTCTTCCAATGGTCCTTTAAGAAATGATAAATTTTCATCTAATTTATGTATCTTCCATCCTCTGTATGTTTTTATTGACACAATAATTCTGATTCTCTCATACCTTGCAACAGGTGCATAGACTTTGTCGAAATTAATATCAAGTTTTCTCAGAAAACCTCTCGCCTCTAGTCTTGCCTTATGTTTGGCAATTTCACCATTTGGACTTTGTTTCAACTTATAGACCAACTTAAAATCAATTGGTTTCTTGCTAGATCTTTTGACAAGTTCCCAAGCCTTGTTCTTCTCAATTGCCTTGAGTTCTTCTTCTATGGATGCACACCAATTTGAATCATTTATGGCTTAATCCAAATCCATTGGTTCTGCTTCAGCCATCATCATTGCTTCTTCTATTAAGTCACCCTCTGAATCGACTACTTGATTAGGAATCTCTCATATCCAGCTAGCCTTGTCGACTTAGTTCTCGTTCTAATCGATCTTCTGACATTCTACTCAGGTGGTTCTTCATTTTGATTGATTGTGACTTCAGTTTGTTGATCTTCTTCAAACACAATTATGATTATATTTGACTCCTGTCAAACTAACCCATGACTCCGATTCCACCTTTTCCTTTCGTCCACTAGAACATATCTATTGATCACTAGTTTATCATTGTTTGGAGAATACAACTTGTATGCGCAAATTGAATGATAACCTATGAGCACCATGAACTGACTTCGATCATCTAGCTTCTTCCTCAATTGTTTAGGAATGTGTCTAAAATATATTGATCCAAAAACTCTAAGATGATTGACATTTGACTTATGTCCTGTCCAAGCCTCATAATGTGTCGTCTCAACTATCTTCTTCGTTGGACATCTGTTTAGAATATATACCACTATCGAAGTTGCTTCACCTCAAAATCTCTTTGGCATATCTCTATCTTTCAACAGGCTCCTAGTCATGTGTAGTATACTTCTATTTCTCCTCTCAGATATACCATTATGGTGAGGTGTATAAGGTGCAATGACCTCACCTTCATTATTGTAGAATTTTGCAAATTCTCTAGATGTGTATTCACCGCCACCATCAGTCCTCAGTTTTTTTTAACTTGCTTCCACTTTGTTTCTCGACATGCAATTTAAACTCCTTGAACAATGTGAATACACCACTCTTCCTTTAAATAAGGTAAATCCTCATATATCTGATGAATTCATCTATAAAAGTTAGGAAATAACAATTACCTCCATTCGACCTTACTTCAAAAGGTCCACACACATCAGAGTGAACAAGCTTTAGTTTTTCTTTCGACCTCATGAGCAAGCCATGGTTGAATGATTTCCTAGTCTGCTTTGTTTTGCAACATTCATCACACACCTGACTTGGTTCTTTCACCTGAGATAAGCCATACACCATCTTCTTCTAGTTGAGCATACCTAAACTTTTGAAGTTTATATGTCCATACATATGATGCCACCAGAAAGATATGGATATGAAGACTTGACACCTTATGCACTTCTTACTAGTTTTGGAGACTCTTCCACCTTTTGAGAGACTATGGTTAGCCAGAAAAAAGATAAGTGGATGGGTGCAATTGTGAAGGAGACGGAGTCTTGAAAAAAAAGATAAGTGGTTGGGTGCGATAAGTGGATGACAGACTAATTTATAAATTGAAGATGTCTTTTTATGGTTTAAAGAAGTCTCCAAGGCAATGGTACAAACACTTTTATTCATACACGCTTTAGATTGTCTACATAAGGTGTGAGAATGTTTGTTGTGATTATATTATGAGCTTTGATGATAGTTCTCTTATTTTCTTATTAATGTATTTTGATGACATGTTAATTGCTGCTAATCATTTACATGGTGCAATTAAATTGAAAATTATGTAGGGAAATATGAAAGACTTAAGTAATACAAAGAAGATTTTTGATATGAGAATTCACATGAATACGAATGTTAAAAAATCATGGCTCTCTTAAAAAAAAAACTATATTGAAAAGGTGCTAGAATATATGTAATAAAGTATTTGATTTCTGATATGTATTATAGTATTGTAAATAGAACAACATACAATAAAAACGTTTTATCTTTTAAAGAACTCAATTGACTCTACTCTTTTAAACTGAGGATTTAAAATAAAAGAAATGAATGATACAAACTTGAAAACAAAAAAGAATGAAGCTACATGCACTTAGCATTCTGCTCAAAGTTACTCGAAAAGTCTATTACTAACAACCAATAAAATGCATCATTAAGTTCTTTTCTTCGAGAGCAAGCAAACCAAAAGAAAAAGAATCAGAATGAGAATGTTGAAGACAGAAGAAAAGCTCAGAAAAATCCAGAATTTGGTTGTATGTTTCTTCACATAACATGTAATACTAAAAACTTTGGTGTCATATAATTTGTTCTGTATTTGTTGCAATTTCTATCATTTCATTTTTGTACAAAAATGGCCATTACAAAAGTGAATGAAAAGTTACTTGAAGACCTTCAAGTTATGGGATTTCCACAAGCAAGGGCAACAAGAGCACTCTACTATTCTGGTTAGTTTATTCATTTCATGAAATTAATTAACTTGGATAATCACTTTAACATATATATTTTTTCTTTACTAGGAAATACAAGCTTAGAGGATGCTATAACTTGGATGATTGATCATGAAAATGACACTGATATTGATGAGTTTCCATTGGTAATAACAATTAATCACTTCTATAATTCAAAACTTTGATTTGCATTAGTCTATAATTGTCAACATTTTGACAGGTAGATGTAGACATTGATATTGATACATCATCATCATCATCGTTTCCTATCACAGATGAAATGAGAATGAAAGCTCATAGTTTAAGGTTTTGTGATCCTTCTTTCTACTATCATATCTTCTGATTTTTTCTTTCTATTTTGTCTAATATTAATTTCGACTTCTGCAGAGAACAAGAGAGAAAGAGGAAAAGGAATGATGAACAAATAATCCAAAGAGAAAGGGAAAAGGTATCTTAGTTTTATGTAACCATAAAGATAGTTGAGAATATTGTGATCTTCATTATCTTCTAATCGCTATGATTTCAGGAGAGGATTCAAGCAGGTAAGAAACTCCTTGAGGCAAAGCGAATCGCGGAAGAAAATGAAAGAAAACGGTATCTTAATGCTTACTAGTTGCTTCTTTTTCTGTTTAATTTAAGGAAACTAGTTACTCAAATTCATCATGAATGTGTTTATCAGGAATTTAGCTTTGAGAAAAGCAGAAAAAGAAGAAGAACAAAGAGCTAGGGGTAACATTCTCAAGAAACTAGATCAAGATAAGGTATATGTAGCTTATTATCAAAATCATTTTGAATCTCTACCTATTTTTTTTATCGACTTATCGTCTGAAGCGCTTATAAAGCTCTTTTATACAGCTAAATAGAAGATCTGAACATGGATTACCTTTAGAAAGCCAAGAAAATGCGAGATCAACAGCAATTGTAATAAAGCATGACAAGGTATGATTAACATATGTTTCATTTTTCTGTGGATATTATGTTATCTAACATTTATATATTCCAATGGAATTACTTGCAGATTTCAAGGCCTGTTTATACAACTACAAAAGTTGAGCATTTAAGAGAATGTTTGAGGTCTCTCAAGCGTGAACACAAGGTTAAACACTATACATTTTTCTTCTTTTTTTCAAAGGTTTATTTTATCAGTATTCAAGTTATGTGTAGGGTGAGAATGCAAGAATCAGAAGGGGGTTTGAAACACTTCTAGTGTATGTTGGAAATGTTGTCAAGAATCCAAAGGAAGAAAAATTCAGGAAGATTAGACTGAGTAATCCATTATTCCAGGTGAGACATTTTCTTAAACAAATCATATTTGTGTTTGATCATATCATATGCATATTAAACGAATAAAATTAACACATTTTCATCGAAACTAAATTCTTTTTCCATATTTTGTTAACAGGATAGAGTTGGAAGTTTAGATGGAGGTGTAGAGTTTCTTGAGCTATGTGGTTTTGAGAGAAGAGATGAGCTCTTGTATCTTCCTAGTGAAAAGATTGACATGGGACTACTAAGTTCAGCTGGTTTTGTCTTGAATTCTGCTATCACTAATCCTTTCTTTGGACTTTTGAGTACTTAACTCATTGTAAATTTTAGTTTGAAAGTGCATTATTGCACAAGGCAACTGCATTTATAACACTGTAATGTAACTGTCTTTTCACAAGGTTCATATTATCATCATGCACATATGAGATATATTATGATATTGTTAAGTTATCAACTACTAATCTTTTAATCTATAACTATAAAAGTCTTTTCCTCAAGTGGATTCCATATTCTAAATGAGTAAAATCCAGCTACTAAACCAAACTATCCCAATATAAGAGTTAGTTAATAGATATGAAATTGTCCTCTAGCTCGTTGTTTTAATGTTTTGTGTATTATCTCTTTTCGTAATTTTTTGAGCTCTTAGATGAATTTCTCATCACGCATAAATAACAGGTTTTATATGTATATAATGAAGTGTTGACTAAAGTTAAACGAAAATAATTTTTTCACTATATTCACTTCCACTGGCATAATCTGAATTTTTTAAACGAAAATAATGAATTTTATATTGTCTATTCAACCTCCCCTCTACACAAACCATCTCATATTCAATCTGACAAGATATTTCAACCAAATAAATAATTTTGTTTGAGGATTCATACAACTTCAAAGTGTTGAAAAGTATAATATTATATCTCTGTGATTAAATGTCTTTCATACCCCAAAATTAAAAAACAAAATTCAATATATCTTAGTTTGAAAAAATTCCTCAACTATCCTACCTTTTTGCATTTCCTAACATGCATTGGATGAGGGTGCCTTTGGCAAATGATCCACGACACACCCTTTTTTTCGTTTTATTTATTATTTAATATTTAAAATTAATTATATTAATTAATATAAAAATAAAACAATTATTTTAATAACAAAATAATTTTTTAAATTATAAAAGAAGTAAAGTTTTAAATTTTTTAAACTATATTTTTTTAAAGAATAATTATTTTAATTATTTATTTTAATATTTTTAGAATAACTAATCAAACAAAATTAAATATGAATAAAAACACTTATAATAATAAGAGAAAAAAATTATATTTATCAATAATACAAATTAAGGATTATAATAATTGTCTGTTCCACGTGTGGTATGTTTTTGCTTATGTTTCCCTTTGCCTAATTCTTCAGTTTGACGTTTAGGAAGAGATGGTGTAGAGTTAGACGATAGATCTTGGTGTTGATGTGATATGTTGCCCGATGTATCCATATTATCCAAATTATCTATAGAAAATGGTTGAAAATTCATAATATCATCGTCCAAGTGTGTAGGTATTTGGTCAAGTTTGTTCAACTAGTGGAACATATAAGTTTTTAGGGTCGAATGTTGGAGTGTGTTGAGAGAATGAATGGTCAAAGTTGTGTTAATGGGGTTAAGGGTTTGAGTAGTTGATAAATTAAGTGTATTGAATGGGTGAGCGAATTGAGGTTTGTTGTTGTGATTGTTCGTAGTGGTAGTAGTAGTTTGTTTAATAGGGTTGGGATGAAGGGAGTTTGTTATTGTAATGGGTTGGTATATAATGTTTATGTTATTTCTATGTCTCTGTAATTGGCATTAACTTTAGTAAAACTAATTTAGTAGAAATGTGTTGAACAAGATGATTCAACTTACTGTTTCAACATGTCGAATGCGATGTCCTAATCAGAAGTATAGGACATCTGGTTTGTTACAGTTGTGTTACAGTTTAGATTCAGTTGTTTTAGATTACTGAATAGTTTGAGAATATTAAGTAATCCTAGGTGGAGTCCAAGACTGAATAATCAGATATTTCTTATGCAGTTAGAAGATTAATTTGTTTCATTAAATGTTGAGACATTTTAGGAAACAAATCATGTAAATCCCTATTTTAATGCAAAAGTTTCTGCTGATTTTTTGCAACAGATCAACTGTGTTTTGAAGCCTAAATCCAGTCCTTTCAAGGTTATAAAAAGAAGGCTTCAATCCTAATACATATGTGGAAGATATAAAGCATTATGTAGTGTTGTAAAACGTGATTTTAAGGGTTCCTGTGTGTTGATTGAACACTGAGTTTTTAGTGAATGTATTAGGACTGTTTTGTTTATTGTGAGCCTCTATAATATCTCATTGATAGAAGAATATGACTGTCTCTATTAAGTTGTAATTTCTGTCAATCGTTCATAAGCTTTTAAGCGTTGATTTATTGTGTGTCTTTTTGAAGCATGTCTTCTAAATTATTCTTTTGAGTTATGTTCTTGTCATTGTTTTGTTTTGAGTACTTAACTCATTGTAAATTTTAGTTTGAAAGTGCATTATTGCATAAGGCAACTGCATTTATAACACTGTAATGTAAATGTCTTTTCAATTTATTAATTATCCTTCACAAGGTTCATATTATCATCATGCACATATGAGATATATTATGATATTGTTAAGTTATCAACTACTAGTCTTTTAATCTATAACTATAAATGTCTTTTCCTCAAGTGGATCCCCTATTCTAGATGAGTAAAATCCAGCTACTAAACCAAAATATCTCAATATAAGAATTAGTTAAAAGATATGAAACTGCCCTCTAGCTTGTTGTTTTAATGTTTTGTGTATTATCTCTTTTCGTAATTTTTTGAGCTCTTAGATGAATTTCTCATCACGCATATATAATAGGTTTTATATGCATATAATGAAGTATTGACTAAAGTTAAAGTTATTTGACTCAGTTCAAAGCTTAAATGATTTGATTCAAAATGAAAAAGCAAAATGACTAGAGTCATTCACAATTTGACTCAATTCAAAGTGCAAAAGCAAATTGACTCGATTCAAGCTAAATTTGACTCGATTGATGAAAATGTCTCAAAAATTTGTTTTTATTATGCAAGAATCGACTCAATTGAAATTCATGACTTGATTCAAAATCAAAATGACTCGATTTATGTTAAATTGTAATTCGATTGTGTCGAAATAGTGTGTGTGTCGAAAGGAGGTTGCCCAGTCGAAGAGCTTGTAGATTGAAGCAAGCTACACACATATTTGATTGTTTTAGATTTAGATAAATTTGATTTAGATCTAAAATAAATAGATTTGATTTAGTACCAAAATAGGTATTTTGAGCTTTTATAGTTTTGGGTTTTGGCTTAGGGAGCAAGCTAACCTAAATCTATAAATAGAGGGAGTAACTCCTAATTTTGTAATTAATTCAATTCATTGTAATCACAGAATTTGCAGTTTGTGGGCAGAAAGAAACTCTGTAGAAAATAATTGTCTTCTTTCTTTTCTTTTCTTTTCTCACATTTCATTGTCATTATGTGGTGATATCAATCTTGTTCATCAAGATTGGTAGAAATTCATCATAGATATTTGGTGGATGTCATATATATGGTATCAAGAGCTCAATTAATCAATTCAAGGGAAGTATCGATCAGGAACGATTGAGGAAGAAGAAGAATTCACGGTGGTGAGTTATAGGAATGCAAATTATCCAGCAACTATACCAATTTTGAAAGTAGACAACTATGATAATTGGTGCAAACAGATGAAAGTTTTATTCAAGTGTCAAGGTCTTTGGGATCTTGTAAAGGATGAATTGGAAGCGCTTGGAGAAAATGCTTCAGAAGAAGGAAAGAAGAAACACACAGAATCTGAGAAGCTGAGTTATAAAGCACTCTTTATAATTCATCAATGTCTGAGTCCATAAAATTTTGAAAAAGTGAGCGATTCAGAATCTGCAAAAGAAGCTTCGGAGGTTCTTGAGAAGTCTTTTGATGGTGCATAAAAGGTGAAGGAAGTGAGGTTACAAACTCATAAGATAACGTATGAATTGCTTCAGATGGAAGATAGTGAGAGCATATATGATTTCTTCACTAGGGTTACAAAACTAGTGAATCAAATCAAGGTATATGGAGAAACATTAACAACAAGAGTTGTTGTTTCGAAGATCTTGAGATCTTTGGATCCTAAGTTCGACCATGTGGTGGTGGCTATAGAAGAGGGGAAATACTTGTCGAAGTTGACAAAGGAAGAGATTCAAGGGACGCTTTAATCTAATGAACAAAGAATGACTGAAAGAGCTACAGGAAAGTCGAAGAGTGATGTGGCTTTGCAGGCACATTTAGCAAAAGAAGCCAAAGGCAAAGGAAAGTGGTTCGACAGAGGTAGAGGCGGCTACAACAAATTGATTGGTAGAGGAAACTAGAACGAAGGAAACACATTGAATCAGAGAAGACCATACCAAGGAAACCAAAGAGGTGGTGTTGCAAATAGAGGAAGATGTGGTGGTCGAAGACCTGACAAGAGTTACATTCAATGTTAAAATTTTCAGAAGTATGGTCACCATTCTAGTGATTGTCCAGAAAAGTGAAAGAATCAAGAAAGTGATGCAATGTTTGTAAAACATGAAGAAGAAGAGATGATGTTGATGGTCACAACAAGAGATGAAGATAGATTCAAGGACCAATGGTACTTGGATTTAGGAGGCTCATCACATATGTTTGGAAGGAAGGACTGGTTTGTCAACATAAATCCCTCATTGAAAAATATGGTAAAATTCACAAATGACAATACCCTAGCAGCCGAAGGTATTGGTGATGTTATGATTATGATGAAAGATGGCAAGAGATCAGTAATTTCTAATGTGTTGTACATACCAGGCATGAAGAGCAATTTGCTTAGTATAGGGCAGTTGGTCAAAAAAATTATAAAGTGTCAATCGAAGATAAGATGATGAGAGTCGTCAATGAAAATGGAAGATTAATCTTGAAGGCTCCTATGTCTCAGAATAGAACCTTCAAGGTCGAACTAAATGTGATGGAGCACAAGTGCCTTTCGACTGCAGCTAGCCGAGATGAATGGATATGGAATTATCGACTAGGCCATCTCAACTTCAGAGACATCAGAGATTTGAAAAGAAGAAATATGGTTTCAGGATTTCCAGAGATCGACATTCCAAATGAAGTATGTGAGGAATGTGTGCAGGCGAGGCAACACAAGAATAGCTTCAGTAAGGATACAAGAAGCAGGTTGAAGGTTATTCTTGAAGTCATATACTCTGATGTGTGTGGACCAATCCAGGTGGATTTGATGAG